CCCCAAAACCCCAAAACCCCAAAACCCCGGGTGTTATAAATATTATTGAAGTATAATATAGGAGTATGTCGAAACTCTTTCTTGAGGCAAACTTCTTTGAAGATGATGGCGAAGGATCAACAGAGATTACGAAATATGGCTATATTGGCTACTATGTTGTGATACTGATGGTGTGATTACCGCTGTTTGCATTCCACTTTTTATTCTTGATAAAAGAATGTAACAAAAGTTTAAAAGACGTTTTCAGAATTATCCAAATTATTATCTTGCTTGAATACCTTCTGATGATAATCTTGCTAGATGGCTTAAGGTTCTTGGAAACAGGCTGGTTTTGAAAGAAATTCTTGTTCTTCTTTGGGATGATTGGATATTTCCTCTCAGACTTGATTAATATAACATGATGGGCTCTCTTGCTGATTCATACAAAATACTACACCAATAGTCTCAGTAGGAATTCGGTTGAAGGCTTAAGAAGTGAAATACTATCGATAATTAACAAAATCAGAAAATGGGAGAAATGTATTCTTTACTTGCTTGCTTCCTTCATCTTTATTTTTGCAGCTTTCTCTTTTGCTGCTCTCCCCTTCTGACCTGGTTGCAAGCATTGCCCAAAAGAGGACTGGAATAATTGGAGTAATACATGCCAAATAGTCGAAAATACTGCAAACAGATTAGCTGAATCTTTCTCTGTACTTGGAATTATAGTATCAATTTTTAAGCTAATATTAGGATGTTTTATGTTATATATGCTAAAGAACCATCTAAATTTCTATTACAGGGCAAAAATATCAAAAATTCTCATTGCTATCTTCTTAACTTGAGTGAGTAATACAATTAAGCTAGTCAATACCTTTAACCAAAATATTAACAATCTAAGCTTAAAGGTGAAATATACTGATAAAAAGCCTATACAAGCCAATGAATTGTGGTATAGTCTTCCCTTGGCCATACTACTAAGAGTTCTTCCCATCCTAGTTATCACAGTAAATATTCAACTGATTTATTACACTTGTTATCTAAGAAATCTAATGAAGGGATGAGGAATTGGGGATTACCTAAAAGTGTGCTCAATTTTTATGAAGTCATCTAAAAATATTTATGAAATTTTGGAAGAGGATCAAAAAGACTCGTTCTGGAATAAAAATTCAACTTTAATTGGAGACGACGGCAACCAATGAGAAGAAGATTGCTCTCTAAGGCAAACATCTTTTTGTAAAAATCGAGCAGAAAGGTAAATTTATAAATAAATGTATAGCCTGAACTTATCAGAAGCATTCACAGAAAATTCCGAGATTGATGATTTATACAAGAAAGAGTATGAAAGAATAGCTGAGATGGAAAAAGAATTCAGATCTACCAGGGATTTAGGCAGCACAGTTTCTTAAGCTATATTATTAACAATATAGCTAAAATTGGAGATAATAATCAACCTATCTAATATCGCTTGGGGTTTTGGGGTTTTGGGGTTTTGGGGTTTTGGGG